CTGAGTTGCAGGCTGCTGCTCAGACAGCGAGACAAGCTTGCCCGTGGCAATGGCCCAGGCACCCTCCAAGGCACCCGTCGTAGAGAATGCCCAGCATGAGCCTGGGGTGTTCTTGGAGGCACTTTGCAGATCTCTTATGTGTGTTGTACTTCTCGACGGTATACGCTTCTACAACTCACCGGTATGCTCAAGAACGGCCCAGGCGCCGCACTGCTGCTGATTCTTTACAGGCGTCACGGCCTTGCTGCGCCAGTCGACAGAGCTGGGCAGCGAGGAGTTGCCTGCCTTGTGCATGCCCAAGCTCGGCAGCTCTCCCCACACGGACTCCGGAAGTTTCAGCCCGAGCTTGTTCATCTTGAACTCATCCAGCGACAAATCCGAGAACTCGTTCAAACCGAGCTGGTAGGAATGACCCTTGGCATTCTCACGCGTGATGTACTCGAAGTTGTCCGCGAAGGCACCGAAGCGAGCCTGCTTCTCGACGTCGTCGTAGTCCTTGCTGAAATCCTTCAAGAACTTGTCGAATGCCTTCTGCACGTCGTCGCGGGGCTTGTGGGCACCGGCGAAGCCCAGCACGCCCAGGCAAGCGATGCTCAGGGCTTTCACCATGACAAAATTTGCGGCACGCGAGAGCTAGGGCTGGAAGACTAAACGTGGCGCTTGGACGGCCCTGCAAAGTTCATAGTGCGGAATTTGAGATGACGTTAGCAAGCACAGCAGATCACACCAGTCCCCACCCGTCTCAGTTTCTCAGGCACCCGGACATTTCTGGCCGCAGCCGCCCGCCGTCTTCTCCCTCCGAGGCCGGATCGCCTGCAGAGAATGGGTTTTGGATTTGGCATCTGAGGGTCCGAGGGATCTACCAACTAGTATCGTCCAGTTGATACCAACCCCAACGCCGGACGGGCGTAGCCAATTTTCCATTGCCATATGCTCCGGGCACGACTCCAAAGTCGCAAGTCAAAGTTGCAAGCAAGCCATGCAATCACTGGTAAAGCCTGTAGACGGTTCGCGACCAGGGGTAGTGCCTCGGGGCATGCATGTCAGGCCGCACAAAGTCTCGTGTGCGATACTAAACTTCAGCCACTCTAAACGGCGCTGCGCTCACTGGTGACTATTGTACTCGTATCAGCTCTCCACTTCATCGCTGAATCCAGGGTCCCTACCTCGTCGGGCACTGCCTTACGGTGCGAAGCGGGTCGGCAGCATTGCCGAAAAAGACAGGGGGAGGTCGGGGAGGAATAGGCTCATACATCAGCACTACAATATCACATGTCTTCGAATTCCGAACTGCGGAGGTGAGCACGCAATGCAGGCTTGCAAGGCCCTGCAAACAGGGACTTAGTCTAGGATAGCAAGCTGCTGGGGCCGGCATCCAGTGTCATCCCCGTCTTCGACCCCCCTTCCTCCCTCCATGATTTCAGGATCCCGCCAAGAGCTGCGTCGCTTTGAGACCTGAGGCATATCTGCAGACGCAGCCGCAGCTGGAAGTTAGTTCAAAGTTGCGACCATGCGGAGAGTAATGACAGACGCAATCTTGATTTGAGTTGCTAGCAGCTTAAATCTCCAGCGGAAGCAATTTTGAATCTTTGGTGTTGCTGCTCCGTGTTCGTCTCCGCATGAGGGACCAACACTCAAGCGGGTTTCAGCTGTGCTGGTTTTGTGCTGGTCTTTCGACAACTTGCTGCTCATTGAAGCCTCATTCCAGCGCACTTGCCCACCTGATTGCTCTACGGCCCTGATGACCCATGCTGACGTCAGTGGCCAAGTCAAACCCCATGCGTCCGGGTTGCCGTCCTTAAGAAACACAGCAACCCACTCAAAGGGCGGTGAACAACAGGCTGTCAACTTTCAATGTGAGAACTCACGGAAATCTGCCTCAGGAGGCCCAAAGGCAATTCGGGCGCCGCCGGGGGGAAGAAGAAAGCCTCTCATTCGCGCAGCGAACCGTAAGTCTCCTAGTGAAGTCTGGCTGTGTTCCTAATCAGCTCAGGGCTAAACTGATCACACGATAGAGCCATCCTATAAGCATAGATGTAAAACCCATTCCTGCCTCCTTGTTCACCTTCATGAGGCCGTGCCCCATAGTTGCACCCAGCACAGGCTGCCTTAGGAAAATCCACAGCGCAACCACGGCTATTTGGCACCAGGTAGATCTTCAGCTTAACGTGATTGTCCTTCTAATCCTCCCTGGGCTTTCAAGCCCCGTTTTGAGATGGTGACCCTTGAAGTTGATGCAGATCGCTTGTTTTAAATCTTACCCGGACTATACACTAGCCACTATCACCATGTCACTATCTCACTATCTATCTATTTATCTATCTAGCTATCTAGCTGTCTGTCTACCTGGCTACCTATCTATCTAGAAGAAAATACTAGACATGAATATATATATATATATATATATATATGTACGCAGAGGTGCTTGCACAGACTCACCGATGCGTGTTCACGAAACTGAAAGCTCGTCAAAGGCGTTCAACGACCTTCAAAGCACCACTCACAAACCTGCACAAAAAGCTGCGCGGGTGCTTGCGAACCTCTGCGACATGAAGGTTCCGGCCGCAAGTCCCAGCTGAGCGGTGGACGGTGAGCCCAAGCCCTGGCCTCCACCCAGGCTGGGCGGATGATACCTCGAAGCAGAAGCAAGCCCTCTATGCCCACACCCTGAACGAGTGAAAGCTCAGCACGCGTGGCGTGCCTGGGATCTCTGCCGAAGCCCAACGCCTTCACGCATCCATGTGGAAACGTTGCGGGACCCATTTCTCAAGACCGCACTGAGTCTTCCTACTGCCTTTTCCTTTTAATCTCACAGAGAAGCAGCGGAACCTCGTACTTCCGCATGCGGAGTTGCGCCGGTGGTGCGGGAGGGGCCTCCCGCCGACATGAAAACCGGAGACGCAGCACAACTCAGATAGCTCGGCCTTCTGCGAGGGGTTCGCCAGTGTGCGCCTTGGGATCCAAATCTATCTCGAGAATCCGAGTGCAGGGAGCTTATCTTGAAATTTCCGAAAGCCCGAGCGCCGCAATCCCTCTGAGCCCCAAGCTCACCATCGGCCCCAGGAGCTGGGAAAAGGAAGTGGCGGGTGATGGTGGATGGTTAGGGTCAGTGGGGGTTTTCATGGGTCTGCTGTCCGCAACCGCTTGGGAATGCTTTGGGCTGCCCGGAACCTGAGAGCCTCCACATGCCAGAATAATGTAGAAAACGACATCCCAACGAGAAGCGGGACCGGGAACTGTGCTGTGTGCGCATATAAGCCCACGTGAAAAGCAAAGCTCCAAGGTGTCAGGGGTCCTTTCGGTCATGTTTAGGGCTCCAGATCCGAGGGTGCCCTCTGTCCTGAAACTCCGCTCAAAACGTCGGCCTGGGTATGCGACGGCCGCCGGGCCTCGTCCTGGACTTTCGAGGAGCAAGGCAGGAGGGGGTTCAAGGCTTTCGGATTTCTAGCAAAAGAGATTCCGACTCCCGTGAGCTCTTCGTTCCTTACCGATCCCGAATGGTCCGGCCCAATTCGCAAAGTCCTTGTGGGATCTGAGGAAGTGCACCGCCTCCACCAGGTGGTGCCTGTACTAATCCGGATTCGACATGGCCAAGGGATCTGCTGTGCCCACGATGTCTCCGAATGGCTACACGTATCTTGCGGCCAGTGCCTCGCCGCCAGGCGGACTGGCACCCGGCGGAGCCTTTGCAAAGATGCAGCTCCAAGCTGAGTTCCCCCAAACCCAAAGCGAACGCAACTCGCACAGAGCCATTCTGAGACCCTTGAGCACACAGTCTGGGATCTGCACAGGCGGCGGGGAAGCCTGAGAGAGGGCAGAAAGAAGACATAAATTCAAGGCAAATGGCCCCGCCCCTGGCAAGGGAGATTTTCTTCCGCCCCTCATGAGCCCATTGCTTCTCCTCCCTCGTGATCAAAAGCCCACGGAAGGCAGGATCTGGCTCCACAGATTCAAGAAATACCACCCGGCCACCCATATATATAATATATAATATAGAATGTATAATATTATATATATATATATATGTATGTATAATATGAGAGTCTCGCCGCTCAATTTCTTCTGTGCGGTTCTACCCTCCCCCATCCCCCGTAAATCAGATGCAAACTCCAGGGGCCAACACGAGTTCAAACCTCAAGAAGCCCTTCAAACTGCCCGAGGCTCTCGCACTTCCGTCTTGCGACATGCTGCCGCCTTCAAGACTTCTGACAGCCAGAACGCTGCGCCAGTGCAAACCCCTCTGAAAGGCCCACAGATCGTGCGTTCGAAGGCAAAGCACCAACCCACTTCAAGAGCCTCTGCCGTGGAAACTGCTGTCGACGGCTACCTTCAACACAGACTGGGTAAAGTGCTCAGGACCGGTTTGCACATGCAGCGCGGCTCCTACGTGACCACCAAATGAGTCACGGTGACCCTCTTGCAACACTGGATGCTTTACTCGACCCAACTCCAGCCCGGCGCCTCCTGTTCGGCCAGCTGCACGTATTCCCGCCGCGAGAGGAAGCGCTTCTCGTCGTCCGGACCGCTCTGCGGACAGTGGGTGTTTCTTCCGTTTGCGATAGCAGTCCGATAGCACTTTCCACAACTTCAGGAAGCAGTGAAGCCTTGATGCTTGAGCGGCGGAGCTGAAGCTTTCACCGGCAAAACCACGGCACGCCTTCACCTTGCCAAGCTGCTCCAGAGTTACACCCGGGACCACCACCTGCAAGGCTGCGAGGTGACGAAACACGCTTTCAACAAGTGAAAGCTGGGGCCATCGTCTCGAGGATCGGCGGCTGCCCGTGCTGCAGCTTGGAAAAGCCGTCGGTGAACTCTGGCGAAGCCTTATCTCCATAGTGCTGGTTTAGGAATCAAGAGCAGAAAGCTTGAGGCTCTGCATCGCTTCTAAACTGTCGAACATCACTTGACAGGAGTAGAGGGTCACAGCGAAGAGGGAGGTGCGAAGCCTCCTCTACCCAGAAGTTGGATCCAAAACCGAACAAAGTTGCAGGAACCTTTCCAGCGCCCAGTCTGCACTCAGCCACCCGCATCTGTTTTCTTTGCACCTCGTCGTCCACGATCCCTGCCGAGATTCGGGCCGACAGAACAAGGCAGCTCTTCAACATAGAAGATAGATGCCGCTGTGCTTCGCCTAGAGAACGAAGAGTCAACCGCAACAGCTGCCAAGCAAGAGTTTCACTTCTCATCGAACTTCCAATCGTCTGAGAAGTTCCTTCCGTCTAGGCGCTTCAAGCAGCTGCATGCAGATTATCAGAAACCAAGTGATGCTGCCATGGTTTGCCCTGCTCGCCATCAACGACGAACAGGGCCAGGAATATGGAAGCAGCGTGGTTCAAGGAGCCAAACTCAACTTGCCCACGGTCGGTTTAGGACGCCACCAACACGGATTTACACCACGACGACACGGTGCCCTTGTTCTGGTGGGCCTGCTGAGAATACACAGCCGCGCGTCATCTGTCTTTCTTTTGCAAGTCGCCTTTAAGCAGCTGCGTGCGGATACTGATTGATGC